TTTTTTTTTTTTTTTTATTATAGAGGGGGGGAAGAGAGAGGGGGGGGGGGGCGGGGGAAAGGAAACCCAGGATCATTTAGTGGCTGGAGACTGTTCCCCCACACTTTTTCCCCTCTGTGTTTTGTTTGGAATGAACTTAAGGTTTAATTTTTCTTTCCCGGGGGGCGGAGGGGGGGAGGGAAGATGGAGGGGGGGGAAGCTACTGTTGTCATGGCCCTGGGTGTCCAGCTGCTGTTAGATTGGATCCAAAAAGCAGGTGGGGAGTCCAGGAGGGGTCGAGGGGTTAAGAAACAAAACCAATCAAAATCAGTTTGAAAAAAATCAATGTTCCATATCATCTGGATTTGCCGCAGTTTGCATCGCGGTCTGCCTCTAAAAACACAGACCGATCTTAATGTTGGAGCGACGGCCTAACCGCCTCGTCCATTCTCTGTGGATAGGATTGGCGTGTACGTGTCAAAAAGTGCGGTGTTTTTCGTTGAACTGCCTCTCACTTACCACCCCCTATTTATTTGCTGCTTTAATATTGTGTGGTCACTGAAGGATCCAACACCGGAAGGGTGGCAGTGAGTCTGTATCGGGGGGTCTTTTTCTGCCGCGGGGGAAATTAAGCCAAAAAAAATAAGTTATTCCCTGAAGCTGTCATCACGCACACTGCCGCCTGGCTGAAGTTCGAGGGGGTAAATGCCGCCCCCTGATTTTTGTGCTTTGTCTCTTCATTATTTTGTCCATCACAAATGTTCGGTGATGCTTCACTGGGGGTTTGGGAGGTCATGCACACACGCCTTGCTTTGAAGAGCTGAAACGCTCGACGTCTTTCTCCCGGGATCTCCAATCTCACAGATTTCCATGCCTGCATATTAAAAAAAGAAAAAAGGAAGATTATTTCAAATGTTTTCTTCTTTAAAAAATGGGAGACGCTGCAAAAGAGAACTTGGACCCTTCCAGTAGTCAAGGGCTCAGAGGCTTTCCTTAAAAAAAACCCGACTACAGTACAATGGATGGGGGGGAGAAAGGAATTTGCAGGATCAAAGTGAAAAATAAGGCAATGGAATAGAAGTTACACTACGTGCTCCCCCTGTTGGATATCCTGGGTATTGCAGGCTCAAAAGGGGGAAACTTGGGGCAATGTAATGGAACCAAAAGGCACCCAGTGGCTCACAGAGGTATTGCAGGCTCAATGGGGACAATAGGACAATATAAGGGAATCTATAGGATGACGTGCCTTCCCCTATTGGCTGAATGAGGTATTGCAGCCCCTTGGTGGCAGAAAATAGGGCAATGCAGTCCTCCCATAACTGCCCCCTGAGGCTTAATTGGGTTCTGGGAGCTGAAGGGCTAAGAATCGATTGCAATCGAGTGAAATCATCTTAACTGTATTGCTGCAAATTATCTTGACTCTAATTGGTTTCCACGGAAGTCATTCCATCCAAAAACGAAAGTGAAAGTAAGAAATGGAATTACAAAGGCTTCCGTAAATGGCTAAGAACTGCTGGGAACTATAGAGTGCCTTGGGGGGAATGTAGAAAAATGCATTGCAGGGAGAGGACATAGTGCCCCCAGTGGTTTATCTGGGTACTGCAGCCCTATTGTGCAATAGATGTTGAATTGCCCATTGAGTCTGCAATACCTCTTTCAGCCACCGGGGGCAGTATGTCCTATGGATGGTGTTATATAGATTGCCCAGTCTTCCGCCTTGAGAATAGGTAATAGGGCAATGCCTTTAACGCAAAAGATATACTGCCCCCTGGTGGCCCACTTGGGTATAAATAGGTCTATAGGGAAAATACTGCAATGCAGTTAGGCCACAGGACATACTGCCCCCTGGAGGAAGACTAGGGTATTGCAGGCTCAATGGGGACAATAGGGCAATATAATGGAATCTATAGGGCCTACTGCCCCCAGGTGGCTAAATGGGGTACTGCAGGATCCATAGGGAAAAGGCTATATAATTCAGTCAGAAGATCACAACTTATTAGTCAAGACTTGATAAAGAAGAAACGGTGTTTCTGTTACAGTTAGGGAGGGTATAGCAAGAACAGTGCTTGGCTATAATGCAATCAATGACTGGATAATATTGATTAGACTTCATGGACAACCCTGTAATATGATGATCATTCAAGTTTATGCTCCAACCACCAGTGCAGAAGAAGAGGAGGCTGATACGTCTGATGATCAGGTAATCTGAAACCGACAGAACATGCAAGCAAGATGTGCGGCTTGTGATTGGAGACTAACACCAAAGTTGGAAACGTAAGAGAGGGAAACATAGTTGAATTGTACGGCTTACGATTCCTTTGTACCGTGCTGTTTTCCATATTGAGAGAATAATAACTCATTGAGCCACCAGGGGGCAGTAGTTCCTATAGATTCCATTATATCCTCCTGTGTTCAATGTTGAGACTGAAGGTTATACTAATGTACGGCTTACGATTCCTTTGTACCGTGCTGTTTTCCATATTGAGAGAATAATAACTCATTGAGCCACCAGGGGGCAGTAGTTCCTATAGATTCCATTATATCCTCCTGTGTTCAATGTTGAGACTGAAGGTTATACTAATCTAGATGAAACACTGCCCTCTGGTGGCTCAATGAAGTACACTCAAACAGCAACACGGGGCAGTATAATGGAATGCATAGGAAATACTGCCCCCTGGTGGCTCAATGTTGGGTAAATAGGGCAATAGAATAGACTCGATAGGGAATACTGCCCACTGATAATATGGAAAATAGGGCAATAGAATGGAATTTATAGGACAAGCTGCCCCCTTTTGGCTCAATGAGGCATTGCATGTACAATGGGAGAAAAAGGACAATATTATATCTATTGTACAATGTATAGCACAAAAGGGCTGCAATACTAAGGTAAGCCACTGGGGGCGCTACGTCCTCCCTTTGCAATGCATTTTCCTGCATTCCACCAGAGGCACTCCAGAGATGTTAGCACTTTATGGAAATTTACCTTTTAAATGCATTTCTTACTTTCAGTTTCGTTTTTAAATGGAAAGATTTAAAGTAGGGAGTCAAAGTAAGTTGCATTTCACCTATTGTAATATATTCATAGCCCTTTTCAGCTCCAACCCAACTGAAGCCCAGCGGGCAGTGTTGCTGTGGGAGGATTGCATGTATTCTCCATGGAGGCTGCAATACCTCACTGATCCACGCGAGGGCAGTATTTCCTAAGGTTGCCATTTGATTGCAGTCTGAATATGGAAAATAGAGCACTCTAATTGTGTCCATATGAAATTTTGCCCCCTGGTGGCTCACGTAGGAATGGCACTCTCAATGGGTAAAATAGGACAATGTCACTGAATCTATAGGAATTTTCCATTTTGCGATCAATACCTCACTGAGCCACCAGGGGACAGTATTTCCTATAGGTTACTATACACCACACTCAGTGGTGAAAACAGGGCAATCAATATATAATGGTATCTACAGGAAATACTGCTCCCTGGTGGCTCACTGAGGTATTGCAGTCTCAATATAGAAAATAGGGCAATATACAGTAATGGTAAAAGGAAATTACAATTATCAGGTGGTTCGATGAGGAACTGCAGCCTCAGTGGGTTAAGGAGGGCAATATATTGGAATCTATGGGAAACACTGCCCTCTGGTGGGTCAGTGAGGTCTTTTAGTCTCTAGTGGGAAAATAGAGCAATATAATGGAATCCATAGGAAATTCAGCCCCCTGGTGGCTCAATGAAGTATTTTCCCCACAAAGCCTACAATACCTCATTGACCACCATGGGGCAGCATTCCCCATACATTCCCTTTTACCGACCTATTTAACTCACTGAGCCTGCAATACCTCCTTAAGACACCAGGGGGCGGTATTACCCGTAGAATCCATTAAATTGCCCTATTTTTCATACTGAGACTGGAATACCTCATTCAGCTACCAGGGGGCAGTGTTTTCTGTAGAATCCTATAGATTTCAGTCAGAATATGGAGAACAGGGCAATATAATGGAATCTATAGGAAATTCTGCTCCCTGGTGGCGGAAAGAGGTATTCCAGTCTCAATATGGAAAGAAGGGCAATACAGTATAACCGAATCTATAGGAAATACTGCCCCCTCATGGCTCAGTGATAGATTGTAGGCTCTATGGGTGAAATAGGGCAATATAATGGAAGGTGTAGGAAATACTGCCTCCTGCTGGCTGAATGAGGTATTGCAGGCAGAATGAAGAAAAGAGGACTTTATAATGTCTATTGCACAATTCAGTGGCATTACCAAGATAAGCTACCGAGGGCGCTATGTCCTCCATCTGCAGTACATTTTCCTACCTTTCACCCAAAGGACTCTATAGTTGCTGGCCTGCAATACCCCAGTCAGCCACCAGAAGGCAGTATATGCTACCCTTTCAATACATTTCCCATGCTCACAGGGAGGGTAGGGCATTCTGTTCAGTATGTAGGACAAATTGGGGAAAGTAAAGGCCAAGATGGGGTCCTGGTAGCAGAAGGGCTAATAATTTAGAAAAATAGGATGTTCTATTTTTATGGTGGTGTTGCAACTTCTGTTTAATATAGCTTGATTCCAGGTAAATCATTCCGTCCAAAAACGAAAGTGAAAGTAAGAACCCATCTACAAAGCTTCACTAATTTTCTCCACACTGCTAACCATCATAGAATGCCCCCTGCTGGAATATTGTAGAGCAAAAGGTATTCTACATCGAGGAATAATGCCCCTGGTGGCTTACCTGGGTACTGCAGTCCTCTAAGAAAAATAGGGAATGTTTTGATGGTTTAGGAAATAATGCCGCTTGTGGGCTGGCATGGTGATTGCAGGCTCTAGGGCAAAGTAGTGAACCTCTAGGACAGTTTTTCTCAACCTCGGCAACTTTATGATGGGTGGAGTTCAACTCCCAGAATTCCCCAGCCAGCATGATGACTGGGGAATTCTGGGAGTTGAAGTCCACCCATCTTAAAGTTGCTAAGGCTGAGAAACCCTGCTCTAGGACCTACCAGATGCGGCC